TTAATTGAGATTTCATGGGAAGGGGAAAAAGGATTGATGCAACAGTTAAGAACAAAAAAATTATAGCCCACAAAATAGAAAACACAAACCTAATTGATGTGTAACATTCCGAGAATAATGTGTCCTCCAACTTCGCTATAGCTTCTCTTATCTTACTTTCAGTTCTCAAACTTTACTTTGAATAACTCCACATAAGAGAAGTTGGTGTAATATTGTTATAATTGTATTTGATCAAATATTTTTTTTGAAATTCCCTCTTTCAGATTTCAGTACCTATTATTGTGATTATTATTATTCAGTGTGTTCAATCTCCTTGACTTTGGTAAGTGTTGCTCTTCTGCTTGCATTGATTATTATCGCTTAGCTTCTTGAATTTGCATGTTTCTTAATTGTTTTTTTTGTTGTGTAAAAATAATTCATAGCTCTTCAGCTTGCTTTGGTTGTGTTTCTTAACTTCTTGCATTTATTCGGGTGTATCATTTGGATAGAGTTGGTAGCCTTAGTGTGGTGCCCTATAATTCAACTAGTCATGGAATTAGGTTCTCCTTTGAAACAAAACTCACTTATATGCAAGAAAAGTATTGAGTAAAAAGAAAAATATACCCCATAAAGTTTTATCATAATTTGTTGACTAGCAGCACATTTGCCCAAAACACAAAAATAAAAATTCATTTAGTGGCATATACAACTATTAGCATGAACATATACAAAATTGGAGTTATACTTGATACCATAGACTAGAACTCTATGAACATCTAAAGATAATCATTCAAGAATATAAGAAAGAAAATGATGATATTAAAGTTTCTAGAACCCATCATATTGGTTGTATGAATTTGATGAACTATAATAAGCATTTTTCGCCAATTAATATGCATATATTATGTTTGTCATTTGATTGCAGTTCATGTTTATTACCTTACATTGATATTTCCTTTCCTTATAGATTTCTTGTTACTTATTACCTTGCATCTATCACATATAATCTTATCCTCTCATTTGTTTTTCACAAAAAGTTGTTGAAGATATAAGCAAGTTTTTTCATGTGTTTTTTCAATTAGAAGTCACACAACTACAATGATTACATGAAGTACCAAACAACTGTCAACGACATAACAATTGTGTTACTATTTTAACTTTCTCATTTTGATATTAAATTATCTAAATATGTAAATAGTGTACCTATGTATGCATTACACTGCGAAATCTGTACATAGCAACAACTCAAACAATATTCTTACCTGGGCAATATTTCTGTAAATAATGGGCAAACTGCTTAATGAGATGTAATCCTATCTAATAAATAAGTCGCCTAAATTTGCATGTCACTAAAGTTACACGGCGTAAAAATATCGAGTCCATGCGCGCATGGACTATCAATATCTAGTTTATTTAAAAGTAGGAGTATAATAGGAAGTTTTAGAACTCCCTATTTAGTTGAATACATTTTTCACTATTTACTTTGATGCATTTGTTTTTTCTTCATAAAATTAAAATGAATATTAATTCATTTTTGGAACGCAACTTTTGTAACCGTAGAATTTTATAGTATGTCTTGTTAATATTACAAAAAAAAATTATTCGTAATTCTAATAATTAAAGGAATACATTCAAAAAGGTTACAGGATGTGTAAACATTCTTTAACTTTAAATTAAAATAATAAACTAATACAAAATTAAATTATTTAAAAAGTTTAGCTGACATTTTTTTATGATGACATGTGTAACTTTTTTCCTTTCCTTATGATATATAGATAGATATAGATATAGATAATTATTATTATTATTATTATTGTTGTTGTTGTTGTTGTTGTTGTTGTTATTGACATCCAATTTGACCTCCTATGATTGGAATTAAATTTTGAGTTCTTAATTTCCAAACGATTTAAAATAAATAACATTATAAAATTCAAAATGTCTTAAAGATACATTAAATATTTTTTAACATTGTAACAACCTGTTTAGTCGTTTTGAGCAGCAAATTTTATTTCTGGAAAAACTGGCTGAGACGACGGATCCCACGACGGATCCCACGACGGACCGTCGAGGGGGTCTCGTTCCAAAACACTTAGATTTCTGAAATTTGGGTACTGAAATTGACTCTCTGAACTTCCTGACGAAATGGCAGGACGGATCGTCACAGGCGTGACGGACCGTCACAGGTGTGACGGACCGTCACAGGTGTGACGGACCGTCACAGGCACGACGGCCCGTCACAGACTGCATAATTCCAGGCTGTGTCAGATTTCTGTTAAATGGTTTAAGGGGCATTTTGGACTATTCCTGCTATAATTATAAATCTAGTGGGTTAATGTTAATAATTTAACTACTGGAGGGTTAAAGGAGATAGCCTTGAATTAATTAATGGGTTAATTTATCATCTTTTATACTTAATTATATGCTAATTAGGGTAAAAGAAAGAGGGTTGGAATAAGAAAAATAGAAAGAACAAGAGAGGGAGAAACGATCGAGAGAGAGGAACGAAGAGGGAAACAACGCTTTGGGGAATTTGCTTGCTTGATCACGAATTTTCGGTGGAGGTACGTTATAGTTTTTATGCTATTCGTAGTAAACTCTTAATAGCGAATGATATGTATTGGGTAGTGTTGTAAACCCTTCTATATGCTTAATTGTATGCTTGCATGAATGTGATTATATAATTGTGATAACATAAGCATGATGAAGCTATTGAATCCTAAATATTGAAAACCCTATTCTACTTTGTTAATGATGATGCCTTGGTATAAAAGAAGGCTTGATGAACGAAAGTAGTGAGATTAGGGGATCGGGTGCCACGTTCCGGTACCAGGATAGTATATGAGGATCGGAGTGTCACGTTTCGACACCAGGATAGTATATGGATCGGGTACCACGTTCTGGTACCAGGATAGTATATGAGGATCGGAGTGTCACGTTCCGACACCAGGATAGTATATAGATCGGGTGCCACGTTCCGGTACCAGGATAGTATATGGATCGGAGTGTCACGTTCCGACACCAGGATAGAATATGGATCGGGTGTCACGTTCCGACACCAGGATAGTATGATGAGGATCGGAGTGTCACATTCCGACACCAGGATAGTATATGGAGCGGAGTGTCACGTACTGACACGAGAGAAATAAAGATAACAAATCTTGAAAGATGTGAATATACTCAATTTAATGAACCTAATTCCCAAATGAGTATGATGGGGAGGCGTGAGTCCTCATTGATGGCTTGGTGTTGTGACCAAGGGTTATGGTAATTGTAAATGCCGCATGTTGAGTATTGTAGTTGATTTTATGATATTATCTGATATATACTATTTTCTATTTTGAGTTGGCCGATGATATCTACTCAGTACTCGTGTTTTGTACTGACCCCTACTTGTATGTTTTCCTTTTGTTCATTGTGGAGTGCAGCAAACGTACCGTCGTCTTCAATTCAACCGCAACTCTAGCCAGTCTTCATCACTTCAGATTTCAGGGTGAGCTAAAGCTTCTAGCTTGGACTGGATTTTCTTCTTCATGTCTTGATGCCTTGAAGTTCTGGCATAGACTAGCTATTATTTATGTTTAGTTTCTTAGATACTCTTAGCTTTAGTAATTTGAGGATAGATGTTCTTGTGATGATGACTTCCAGATTTTGGGGATAATAATAAGTGTTTGAGTTCTAGAAGTCATTAATCTATTTTTATTAATGAGTTTTAATTCTTCCGCATTGTATTCTGTTTATTATGGTTAAATGTTGGGGTTTAGATTGGTTGGTTCGCTCACATAGGAGGATAAATGTGGGTGCCACTCACGGCTCGATTTGGGTCGTGACAAACATATATATTATTTTTAAATAATATATATGTTTTTATATATAATTTTGTATGTAATTGTTACATTTTTATAAATATTTTGAAAATCGTCTCAAATTTTTTTAAAAAAAATTTTAATAAGTATTTTATTAAGTTAGTTTAGTTTAAATTATTGTTATAAATTTTGAATTGTTTAATTATATAGTTAAGTTAGATATTTCTATTTCGTTAAGATTATGAAACTCGTAAATTAACTATAATAATTCATCTTACTTAACTTTTAAACCAATTTCGCTTATTATATCAATTTGGCTATGTTCGGGACTTCAATTGATCCTAATTTAAATTCATGTGGTAAAAAAAATTCAATTCTAGCCCACTTATTTTAAGATGGCATATCTTGGGCCTCTTCCTAAGGATCAACAACCCATCTAACATGCCAATTCACAAAAATTACCCTACCTTTTTTTTTGGGAAATTTTATAAAATGTCATTATTGTAATATTTAATAGGGTATAGGGTCAACACTTTCAATATTTAGTGATAATGTCAAAATGTTACATTATTATGTATTTTAATTACATTTTAATTCTTTTGTTTAATTAAAAAGAATTCCTAATTTATATAACAAACTAGAGCTATTTAGGAGAGAGAAAAATTATAAAAAGTAACATATGCTTAAAACTCTCTACATCAGTTACAATTTTTTCAAATCTTGATGATATATCTGGCCATTATTCATGATGTTCATCCGGAAAAAAATTATTGCGATTTTATTGTTTGTCAAATAAACTGGGTAAACGATTTTTGGAAAATAAACAAAAACGAAAAGTCAAAATTCAGGTATGTTTTAGTTAATTAATCGTTATATGTTTTGTATTTGATTGTGATATGTTGCGCTTTTTTATAATAGTATTATGATTTGATGTCGTTTTTTAACTTTAGTATACGAAACCGTATATCCAACAGAATACTTATTTGATGCATCAATTATTTAGACAAATAATAATATTCAAATCTTTTGGTTGAATTACGATTGTAAATTTATTGTTTTGTATTCTTTATACAAGTTAATGATAATGTCATTATTTTGGTATTTAGTATTGACTTTTTTTACTATAAAGCATATGTGGGGAGCATTGCTTTTATAATAAAGCATTCTGGACATTGAACTGAAGATAATTGCTATGTTGATTACACAACTGAGGCAATTATGATTAAAGAGTATGCATCGTATAAAGATTTAGTTGATGAAGTTGCTAATCAGATTGGCGTAGATTTGAGGTATAACAGATTAAAACTTAAGTATAAAATAAAAGGTAGCATTGCATCTTTGGAGATACACAACGAGATGGGAATAGGGGTATATGTCTCATTGAAGAAAGAAGTTCGAGAATTCGCAAAGTATCCCATTTGTGTAATTGTATTTGTGAATGATCGTGACATAAATTATAGAAATCATTATGAAGAAGATATTGGCATGTGTATGATAAACGGAAGAAGTACAACTATAACCAAGCAATAGTTATTAGTGCGTCATTAATCAGTGCTGAGTTAAGTAATTCTATTATCTGCAATATGAATCATAAAGAAGTCATTAAGGATCAAGTTTATAAGAATAAAAATACTTTGAAAGTTGTGATGATGAAATATGCCATTGATAATAGATTTCAGTGCAAGACAAAAAAGATCAAGTTTAGTAAGGTATTTTGTATTTAAATATATTTTAGATTTTGTTGTTATATTAATTATTCCATATAATATCATGTCTTAATTTATTTTGTTCATTTTCTTTTGTAATTCGAGTAGTTATACACTTGTTTGTGTATCTGAAAATTGTGGATGGATAATGAAGGCTTCCAACATCAATAAATCGGGAATGTTTAGAATTATAAAGTTTGTAGATGAGCATACATGTTCATTAAAAGATAAGGTGTATAGTCAGAGACAAGCAATACGCAGTCTTGTTGGAGGTATAATAAATCCCAAGCTAGTTGATCATAAAAGAAAGTTGACACCGAAAGACATACAAGTTGATGTTAGACTCGAACTTGGTGTAGACGTATCTTACTCTGTGGCATGGAATGCTAGGCAAAAGGCAATAAATTCATTAAGGGGGACACCATCTGATTCATATAGTAAATTACCCAGTTATTTATACATATTGGACACCACTTATCATGGATCACATATAAGATCGAAGAAGACGGAAGAAAATGAATTTTTATATGTCTTTATAGCTTTGTTTCCTTTCATAAAAGGTTTTGAAAGTTGTAAGCCCATAGTTGTAGTAGACGGAAGCCATCTCAGGGGGACTTATAATGGCATATTTGTGTCTGCAAGCACATTGGATGGAGCAGGTAACTATTAGATATTTATATTTTTTTTAAAGAATTACGCGCATTATTATATTCATTAAACATGTATTTGTTGTATTTGACGATATGTATCCTAGCATTTGCATTGTATATGTTCAGGAAATATATTGCCCCTAGCATACGGTGTTATTGATTCGAAAAATGATGCATCTTGGACTTGGTTGTTTGAACAGTTTAGAGAAGCTCATGGTTTAAAGGATAAAATGTGTGTTGTATCCGACAGAAACGAGATTATTATAAAATCAGTTTCGAGGATATACAATATACCACATTATGCTTGCACGTTTCATCTTAGGAAGAACGTGAAGACACTTTACAAAAAGTCACATGACAGTCTTTCAGAAGCGTTTTATGCAATGACAAAGGCATACAAACTTTCTGAATTTAATGAACTGATGAAAAAAGTAGAACATGTTGATATTAGGGGGAAAAATTATTTGGAATTGGCTGGTTATGACAAATGGGCAAGAGTGTATGCACCAGTTGATCAAGGCACTGTGATGACCTCAAACATAGTTGAATGCATAAATGCATGCCTTGTGGAAGCAGGAGAATTACCTATATATCATTTTGTTGAGGAAATTAGACAAATGTTTGGTTGATGGAATTTCAAAAACCATACATCTGCTTCAAATACATTCACGACACTTTGAGGTAAAGCACAAGAACTGCTCGCTGAAAATGTAGAACTTTCACTGCGTATGACGGTATGTTTATGCTTCCTTAAAATTGTTGTATTTTGTATTTAATTTAGTAAAAATTAAAGATTATATAACTGGTATGATTTAACTTCCTTTTAACTTTGTGTAATAGGTAGTTGCGACAAGTAATTATGTGCACAGTGTTCTTCATGAAGGGGAAACATTTATTGTTTGTCTTGAAAAGAAAACTTGCACATGTAGGAGATTTCAAGTGGATGAAATACCATGTTCGCACGCTTGGGTTGTTTTGAAGAATAAATTTCTTGATCCTGAACCGTATTTTTCTAACCTTTACAAGCCAAATACATTACTTGTTACATATGCTAATCGAATAAATCCATTACCTGATCGAAAAGATTGAAATGTGCCTGCATATTTAGAGAATGAAATAGTTAAGCCTCCAAAGTTCATAAAACTACCTGGTAGGCCTCCAAAAAAGCTTTGTAATAAGACGTACAGTGAGCTATATGGAAAGAAGAACAAGAATTCTTCTAGTACTTGTGGTCAAAATGGACATAATAGGCGATCATGCAGGAATGCACCACGAACTGAATAGTTAGATATGTTTGAATTTGTTTTGAAAGATAAATTTACATGTGTTCGTACAAATCGTTTATCCTTGTAATTGATATTTTCATAATGTTCAATGAATAATATTTTATCAAAATATGTTCGTTTGCGCGTATTTACTTGTATAGTAATAAAAGTCGTTTGTTAGCTCACTTCATATTAGTGCCTATTACACTGTATATTAATAAGCTGAGTTCTTCAATATGAATATGTATATGCAATAAGACTAAAAAATATGACTTGAGAAACTATGTTTTAATGTTCATAAACAAATATATTTGACACTACATAATACAACTAATGTGACCACATATAAAAATAAATTATATTTTAATACAAAACGATACAACTACAAGTAATGTGACTTAATGAATAATGTAATACAACAATTTTACAACTATGAATACAACATACAAAATATAATAACCAGTTCTTCAATATGTATATGTATATGCAATAAGACTAAAAAATATGACTTGAGAAACTGTGATTTAATGTTCATAAACAAAAATATTTGACACTATATAATATAACTAATGTGAGCACATTTGAATAAACAATACAACTACAAGTAAGTGACTTAATGAATGATGTAATACAACAACGATGAATACAACATACAAAAATACAACACATGGATTCAACTAACATAATATATATACGTAAATTCAAAATGAAAAGTATGCAGAATAAACTGCTAAACAAAAGATAATAAAAAATGATAAGTATGCAGAATTATGTGCTACATAAAAGTTAATCAAAATGATAAGTATGCAAATTATAAAGCAACATAAAAGTTTAAGAAACATAAATTAACTAGTTTTAAAACATAAAGAAGTATCATCAACAAACGCACAGCTATTGTATTTCAATTGGAGCAGTGATACGCTCAAACTTACTTCTGAAATAAGAAGTAAAGCGGTAGTGTCAAGTAAATAACCCAACTAGTGAGGTTGGGATCGTTCCCACGAGGAAAATAGTTTAGACTTAACTTTAACCTATTATTACTATTGTTCGGTCAATTACTTCCTTGGAAAGCAAAAACAATAAAAGGGGGGTTTCTATTTCTAAATGAATGAAAATAACTAACGAAATTGAAAGAGACATTTGAAAGCTTTGAATGTTGGAGTTTAATCAATTAATCAAAGTAACTATGGTTTATGTGTTCCCCACAGGTTCATAACTTGATACTTCTAACTATAACAATTCTTTCCTAGTATCTTGCATGCAAAGTGATAAGTTATGTATTTCTAAATCCTTGGTCCGGCATATAGAAATTCTCACTCCGCACCTTGATCCAGCTACGTGTGTTGCTATCCTAACCCTTATCTTTACCTCATATTAGGCATCATATTCGATATTTGACTAAGTTATTACCTCGTACCAGTCAATACTAGCCTATTAGATAGTATACACTAAATCTATGTTGATAATTATTTTCCTATTATCTACCTCCTTGGTCCGGCAAGTAGCATTAAGGCGAGTGCTAACGTTGGTCATCCGTTAAAAAGACTTCTAAGCGAAAGAATTATTAATACATGCAAGACACTATTCTAGAATTGTTATTTTAGTTAGGTTTTACCTCATTATTTGTCTATGCTTCCCACAACCCTAGTTATGGAGTTTAGTTACCCATAGTCATAATCACAACATTCAAATATATTATATAAGTCATGTACTTACTTCAATGAGAAAGAGTAAAATCCGAAAGTTTGCTTGATTAATCACCAAAAATCACTTGCAAGAATCTCAAAGTAATCAAGAATCTCACAAAAAGTCTAATGATAATCCAAAGTCTCACAATACAGTGTCAACTAATAAGGTGTCTAATACTAAGGAGTCTAACCTCAAAAACGAGATTTTTCGAACTATTTATTGAAAATAAAAACCTAATTAAACAAGAACTCTATTTGCTGGAAATCTGTCAAAACGCGATTGGGTCGACGGACCTCGCGACGGATCGTCGTGGTCACGACGGACCTTCATGGACTCCGTCGTCCCATACTTGTGCAATTTCTCCTGCTGCTTTCTTCATTACCCTCGACAGTAAGTATGACGGACCGTCATAGGCACAACGGTTCGTCGAGGGTCTTCGTTCCAAAACACTTAAACTCTTGGAATATGGGTACTGGGATTACTTCTCTGAACTTCATGACGGACCTGCTGGATGGACCGTCATTGACACGACGGACCGTCATGGACTCCGTAACCTCACACTTGGTCAGACTTCCCTATCTTCCTTCAGCAGCTGCACAACGCTACCACCTGAGGACCGTCACAAGCACGACCGACCGTCACAAGCTCCGTAGGTTGTCTCTTCTGTATTTCTTTGCTCAAAATCTCCGCATTCATCTTTGTACAGATTTCCATCAAATAAAGAGAAACTTATATAAAAATTAGCACAAAAAGGCTTTTGTACACACTACACTTTAAGGAAAAAGTATTAATAATACCGTGAAAATACGGTATATAAACACCCTCAACTTAAATTCGTTGTTTGTCCTCAGGCGACGCACTATAACTCAATACAAAATCTTTGTACAATAGTATCCATGTTTTATCCTTTGCAATCATTTGGTTATCAATTACGATTAATCTTATCATATCTATGCATGCTATCACTATTAGGCTTGAATTATGTGGGATCAGAACATGACACAGACTCACCATGCACTAACACCTATCCTCTTCAATTTCTCACCGAGGTGCTAACAATTTCGGTATTGCAACTAGTGTCCTCACTTTAAAACAAAATCTTCATTTTCACACAATGATTTCACTTTGAGTATAAGGAATACTTTTCAACACTCGTTGTCAAAACAAATTCACACTCATTCATACATATTGCCATAAGCTTGCCCTTATTTTCACTGCCTTAAGTTCACTATACAACCCTTAGGATCACGATAGGACTTTCTTATCTTGTAGCATAGGCTCAGGGTCAGGTAGGGTATATTTAGGTATACATTAGTAAATTTTTGTCCTCCTTGACATATCGGCTAAACCTACCACTTTCTATCATTTTATCTTGCCCAGTTTCTCATATTCTTTTACCTTGCTATTTTCTCTTCTTTCTTCATTTGTATAAGTGACTCTCTTCTTTTCTTGCTTGTATTTCTTGTATTTTTTTTCTTTTTCTTTACTTTTCTTTCAACTAATTCTTGAGTCACTTTACTTTTGTTCTTTCTTTCTCTTTGTTCTTTCAACCCCACTTTTCAGAGCATTCCTCATAATAGCCATTCTCAACTCATGGCTTTTCCATGAGTCAAGGTACACAATACCCAAAGTTGGGTCAGGTCCATAACGAATGTTGTTTGCTACATTAGCCATTTGGCATAAACTTAGGTGCACATGTCCAAGGAGGGACCAGGGCCAACTCATTATTCCCAGAAAAGATCACTTGGGGTGAAAAACAAAGGTCTAATTTATGCTCAGATCATTTGGACCAAAGAAGGATAAATTTCATTTGGTTTTCTTTTATTTAGGCTAAGAATGGGCTATATTAAATAAGGGCCTATGATCCTTTCCTAATTGTCTATTACATCTTACTTTTAGCAGGACTTACCAGACAAGTTCTAGCTCGGTACAAATAGTGGACTATTCAAATCTTCCTCACGCTCACTTGACATCTCATTACTATACCAGATTATGAGACACCTAGTTCGAATTTTAGACTTAGGGTAATGCAATGGTGTACCTCTATGTCATGCTTAGAGCCACACATTTATCAGTTACTATGCCTAGTCGTGCATCATTTTCCAATTTATCAGGATATCATTTTAGACATCATGCTCCAAAATTAAACTATGTACAAAAGATATAGACATACCGGTTCAATAGAAAAAGTAATCAGTATTTTGGGAAAAAAGAACACTGGCAAGAAAACCCCAAAAGAGGATAATGAATTGGGCTACCATGACATCACCCTAGCACTCACTTTCCATTTACCCCACCCCCAAGAAAAAAAATGCAATTGTCCCCAATGCATAAAAAATTTAAATACTAGAGTGGTAGGTGAAGCAAACCTGTGGCGCAAAGCGCCGTCGATCAGTAAGCTTGTGGGTTCGGTTCCCCGGAACCCATGTCCTCTGCAATCTGGATACCCTCAGTGGTGTCCTCAGCAACAACTGCACTATCACCAGTGCCTCCCACTATCTCCATAGTTCGGGAGCTAGACGCCCCACCCGCTAATTCTCCTGCTCTCATCTGGTGCGCCTCCTCCTCAGAAAGTGAGGCTCTCCTCGTAGCCTCCATCTCACGATGCTCTTTCTTCCGTGCTCATGCCTCGTCCTTTGCTCGACCCCTACGCCTCTTGGTATGCTCTCAAAAGG